CGTTCAACCAAAAATGTGCTTCATCACTAAAGATGATTTTTTCGCCAAAATTTGGATCCGTTTACAACTTCTCCAGAACCCAATCAGCGAACATACGACGAGCTTGACGGTCTTGGGGCTTCAGTTCTTGTGTCAATTGGATCTTATACGGATGCATGCCCAAGTCTTTTCGTAAAATTCGCCAAGTTGAGGTCGCAGAGAGGCCAACTGCTTGTGCACGACGAGGAATCGAGAGGTTTGGGTCTTCAGCCACACTTTCAGCAACAGCATCAATATTCTCGTTTGATCGCACGTTTCTGCGTCGTACAGGGACTGCTCGATCAGCAACCGAACCGCTTTGCTCAAATTTCGCGATAATTCGTTGAATTGATCGCTCGGTTGGACGATCATTTCGGCCGTAAATAATTCGTAGCTCGCGAAAAGTTTGCCGAACAGAACACGAATTTTTATAATAAATTTTAACAATTTCGACGCGTTGTTGAACGGTGTAGCGCTCCATGATCAAATGGTAACTATGGCGGAACACAAGTGTCGAACAATGACTGTGCTGCCACCTGAAACGTCACAGCAATATGCTGTCAAAGTTCGGACATAACTACTGAAAAACTCTATATAATGGACTCAAGAACATGCTTTGAATATTAAGAGTATTAATACTGCTTTGTACAATTATAAAATTTTTATTAATTGTATCAGTAGTAGAAAATGCTATGTATAAGAAGACCCTACTCTAGCTAAGAGATACGATTGATCAATGTTACTACTCGAAGGTATGATAGCATACCCACGTTCACTGTACTCGCCAAATTTAGCATATATACAACCAGTTGCCCGTGCCACTTTGGACTAATCGTCCTATAGCATAATTGGGAACTGGAGGGATAAAAAAGGCATGCAAAGACTCATACGATGATAAAAGGGCTTTTACAGTCTGTGCTGGTAGAACTTCACATTAGGACATACGTTTCAGTATTCAGTGATGCCACAATTAAAGAAACTGAAAAAAAAAACAAGACAAATTTATTACACTTGTAACCGTTGTTTTGCAAGCCGGTCTGTAAATTTTACGCGACTGAATCTACTGTTCACACCGTATCAGATCTAAGGGCGGTTACTCTTATCCCTATCGACCGAAGGTGATTCTTGTCGGCGATAGGAACGCAGGATTCGTGCCTTCTGGCACAGGAAGGGCGGCAATGAGGATCTAAGTA